TAGTGAACAAATGTTGCTACTGTTGGATTATTAAGAGATAAGGGAAAAAGAGCGGTCTTAGAGATACAGCTGAAATTGAATATTTTCTCTACATGTTTGAGCTGTTTATTTTGTTTGTGCCTTTTACGTTTCAGTGGCGGCTACAATATCAAGACAGGACCAGGTTGTTTAATTGAGCTCATGAAATTTGACATGGGAGGATCAGCAGCAGTTCTCGGTGCAGCGAAAGCTCTTGGTCAAATCAAGCCTGCTGGGGTAGAGGTAAGTCATTTCTTGGTGGTGTATTTTTTGGGGGGATAATTTCCTTGTTGAATGATTAGATTTGTTTTCAATTTTATATTTTTTTTTTCCTAGTTCTGTTTTCTTCTCTATATCCTGTTTAGCAGGAACATCTACTAATATTTTTCCTAAGGATTTAGTGATGAGTGATAATAACATAATAATTGTTCATGTACGTATAGGTTCATTTCATTGTTGCGGCCTGTGAGAATATGATAAGTGGAACTGGTATGAGGCCAGGAGATATTGTCACGGCTTCAAATGGAAAGACGATTGAGGTTAGTTCTTCATTTTGAAGGCTTTAGTCTTCAGATCATGACTGGGTCACCATTTACTTTATACAGTTCTTTGCAGAATTTTATATATTATGCTTTCTGTCACAAAGGATGTATTCAATTTGTTACATAATTTTTCTTCTTATCTGATTAATTGAAGAAACATACTTATCCAAAAACAAAAATGGATGGCAATAGGCTGTACATCAACTGAAATTAGATGTATCTACTATCTAGACAATGTATATGCTTTCAAGTTCAATGTTGAGACCTCTGTTAATCTTGCGGAGCTCTTGCATGTTACTTTAGAAATTGGTCTTTATCTGACTCGTTGGCACTTACATTTATTATTTAGATGTGCCTCCTCTCGAATCAATTTCCATTACGATATACATTATTTGCTGAAAATGCACTATATTCCTTCTATCTCCCCCTTCCGCACCCTAGTTCAAATTTATGTAGAAATTTTTAGTGCATCCAAATGTTAGTTTTCTAGTTATATGAATTTGTACCTGTATCAAAATTATGAACCTTTATAATTGAAAACTGGGTCAATTCAATAATTTACATGTCCAACTCTTGGATCCAGACTTCTGCCTGATCATCGAATTTGAATCCAGGCTACATAGTTCTTTTTCAAATGCTATGGTGGGAGATTTTTTTCTTTACTTGGGCATTGGAGTCTTGCTCATCACATTACTTTTTTGCATTTATGTCCAGCTATTTCATCTTTTAAGACTGTATTTCTTTCGTAGGTAAACAATACTGATGCTGAAGGTAGACTAACACTTGCAGATGCTTTGGTATATGCTTGTAATCAAGGTGTAGAGAAGGTATACATAAATGCATGTAGTCAGCACCTTATCTTTGAGAAAATCTTATTTAGTGGGTTTTTTATCCTTTGCATCTTATCCCATGTATTCTAGGCACGGGTTTCCTTCCTGAAGACTACTAAAAATACACGTGTTTTAATAGCGTAACATATATGATGCACCAACACGGACGTGTATGTCCGACACGACACATGCTAGTCACGTTGATACATGATTTTCAAAAAAGTAATGACACGACATGTCGTAGCTACATTGAATAAATTTTTTTGAATTCTGAATTTATATAGTATAAATATAATTTTTCTTATTGAAGTTTTTTAAATATGAGTATTTATTTGTTATTTAATTATAATTTTGAATTAAAAATATATAATATAATATTTCTGATTAAGAAAGAAAAATGACCAGACGTGTGTCATACACGTCACCCTAGTTGAAATGTCCATGCAACACAACATGACATAGTTGCTTGTTCTAACCTGTAGTATCTTTGAATCGCATTTATATATTGGCACACTTTTTAATCATAAGAAAAGCATGACCCAAGTGTAGATCCAGTCCTATCGTGAAATGAAAATGTAGGTGTTTTAAGTGACAAGAACAGCTAGTTTAGGCCCTATTTGTCATCCTTTAAAAAATTAAATTGTTTGCTACAGTATCATTTCTCCACCACACACTCACACAATAAAATATTCTACACACAAACCAATAAAGTTTCTTTACTTTGTAACCATACATTCTCCAAAAAATACTATTCCATAACTCATTATTCCCAAATAAATTCTATCAAACAGGCACTTATTTTGTTTTATCAGATTTTAGGGAATCAATTTTCACTTATAGAGTCATACTCCATATCCCACCTATAAAGTAAAAACCATTTATAAATGGTGGAATTCTGTATGGATACTGGAAAAGTTATGCCATTTTTTTTTTCCTGTGTGTGTTTGGATGTGTGTAACACAGTTTAATTGCTGTGCAGATAGTTGATCTGGCTACTTTGACCGGGGCCTGTATAGTTGCTCTTGGACCATCTATTGCTGGTATTTTTAATTTTCTTATGGTTATATTGGTGTGAAGATTTGCCACGAAAATAGTAAAGGCAGGCACCTGAGAGATTTAAAAATGATAGAAAAGAATAAGAGATGATTTAATATTTATAATAAGTAATAACCAAAGGTGAGTTCGTAGACTACTTACCACAAGTTCTGGGGTGCAAATTTTGATGAGATTTTTGGTTCTTGTTGAATTAAATTTGGTCCAGTACTCGAGGTGAAGAATTTCAAGTCTTCATAAAACATGTATTTTTTCCTTATATATCAACTTATATTTTTCCTTTCCAAAAAATGAACAGGCGTTTTTACTCCAAGCGACGATCTTGCAAACGAGGTACTTGCAGCATCAGAGGTCAGTGGGGAAAAACTTTGGAGGATGCCTATGGAGGAGAGTTATTGGGAATCCATGAAATCTGGAGTTGCTGATATGGTGAACACCGGTGGCCGTCAAGGTGGTGCGATTACTGCTGCTCTTTTCTTGAAGCAGGTACAACTTTTTTGTTATTTTCGGTTCTTTATTTTTTCTCATTTAGATATACCACGAGTTTGGAACTCGTGTGTTGCACGTGATTTCGTAATAGTTTTGTGAAATTTATTTGTTGAATTTTTCACATAAAATAGTTCAATTGAAAATTTTGATTTTTCACTTAACTATTAAAACATTAGAATAATTCAATTATTAGACTTCGTAAATGAAATGAGAGTATGTCTAGGTTGCTAAATCCTCTATATCGAAGGATAATTATCAGACTAAACTTAAATAAATAAATTGATGCCACTGCATATAATTTGGATCCTCGTTCTCATGTGCGTTTAAAACTGATAGCAATGGAGGAGATATACACTCACTCACTAAGCGTCAGCTTGACTTAAGAGATTCCTCAAATAGAGAAGATTTGAACTTACTAAGGGCCTGTTTCGCAAGGCTTTTTCTTTTGCTTCTTGTTTAAGAGCTTCCTAAGAAAACTAAGTTAGGCTTGTTATCCTTAAACCAAATAGGTTCAAAAGTGGTTTCTTGGTCTCAGAAGTAACTTTTGACTTTTCAACTATCACATGTACTGAGTTTGAAATGCATAATTATACTGAATACACCTTTGGTGGAAAATATAAGTACTGGTTTGGACAAAAAAAAACAAAAACTATATTTACAAGATCTATGTGATATGACATAGAGATGGCAAGGTTTCTCCCACCTTTTAGTGATGCTGGAGAGTCGCCTGATACACAGAATCTTTGACCATTACTAAGAAATGATACATGGTGTATCTGGCATTGGTATAGTATCTTTTATCTTTCACAAGTGATGATTTCTTTTCATCTTTTCTGAGTGATGATCTTCTAGGCGGTACTGGTCAAGAAGTCTGATACATAACCTTTTTCTGCAGTTTGTTGATGAGAAGGTTCAGTGGATGCATATCGACCTGGCTGGCCCAGTTTGGAATGATAAGAAGAAAGCTGCAACTGGATTTGGTGTTTCAACCTTAGTTGAATGGGTGCTAAAAAATTCTTCTTAGTTTCAGATTTTCTATGTGACAAAGTTGAGCGAATTAAAAGCTCCCTACTGGGGGCTTTGAATTGTGAAAATAATGCCGTGTTGGCAAAAGAAATGTGGTGAAATTGAGGCATGGAACTTTCAATTTTCTTTTGAATGCAGAAGGTAACATTTAAGGAAAAAGCACGACTTCTAAGTCTATTCAAAAAGATGCGCAAGAACTATCTAACATATGGTGTACTTTCCTAAATACCACGGTATTTTTGTCTCATTTTGGATCCTTGAATATCACTATCTCCAATGTTGTTTTCATTAGCCTGGCAGTATATCTTTCCTTTTCAGATAATTGTTCTTTTTGTTTACTGTTTCCTAAATGTAGTTTTCTTTTCATCTTTCGTCTCAATCTTTTCTACTGTTAGGGTCCTTAGGGATGGTTTTGCAGTTTGTTTATGATCTAGTATTGGCTAGGCGCTTAATTTATAGCCAGTTCATTTTCCTCTATTTTTAGTCTAAGGACCTGAGGACTGAAGCCCGTGTCTGCCAGGTCAGGGACTACTGGTTAGGATGAGTTGAGTTACACGGGACACATTTGAGAGAGGGACGGCTTATGGCTGCAGCAGGCACTTGGCAGCTTACACGACATTTAGTTGCCAAATTTCCTTTTTCACGTAAATAATGACCAAATGTACAAAGCTGTTTAAATAGTAAATTCAACTGTTCTGTGTGCAACGGCTATGCCTATATGACAAACGCTCTTCATGGAGAGATGGCATTAATTGGCATTTCTAGGACTGCACAGAATGGTACAGCTGAGAAAGCTACAAATGAGACGGAAAGTTACAATCTGCAGCATCAAACTGCACAGAGTACAAACTTAACAAAGTGAAATGTTAATATCGCTTCAACTTCTTCCTGAAATAGTATTCAAAATTAGGGTACCTTTTAACTCAGAAATGTTAATCTTGCTTCTACTTCTTCCTGAAAAAGGAATTCAAAATTGGGTACCTTAACTCTGCTCCCAGAAACATCAAATTCAGGCCTGCATATGAAACAAACAAGTTACCTTCTAGTTTGCTCCAAAATCCCATAAATGAATAGTGGCATTAGCAGAACATGCAGCCACATGCCTTTCATCTGAAACTATGGCATTGCATTCACCTATTCTCTCCCCAAAGTTGTACAACTCTTCTCCATGCACCATCTCCCAAACCCTAATAACTCCCCCTACACACATTAGGGCATATCCACCATTGACACTTCCCAAAATCCCCCTCTGGTAAGCACCTCTTACTGTGAACCTACATACTTCCTCCAGAGTCGCCACCCGACGCACGCTTGCATTGCCACGCATGTCCATGATTAACAGCAATTCGTCATTATTCGCATCGAAAGAACCTACAATTATTCTCCTATCAAATTCTTCTTCTCCTAGTATTATCCCCTCATTTCGTAAATCAAAGACCATAAGCCTAATGTTCGTGCATGCCACCGCGGATTCATGGCTTGTTACTCTAACTCGACCGATAATATCTGTCAATTCGTATAGCAAATGCCAGCCCAATACTGCTTCTGGGTCGGTTAGTGAACCGCCAACGAAGACTAGCTCTTCAGTTTCACTGTTCCACACGTGAAAGGCACGACCAGGAAGACCTGGAGAAGGGTAGAAAATTGCAAAAAGACATTGAAAATGGAACCCCAAAAAGGTCATAAAACAAAAACATGTTCATCTTTGTTAAGTACCTGCGTAGAGGCCAACCCACCTCTGGTTACAACCCGTGAAGTCGACTAAAGCGCCGTCATTGACAACATCACCTAGATGGACTCTACGTAGAGGGTTGACACCATTGATAACTACCAGATGAATGTCACCATCTAGTGTGGCAAAGACAAGTTGAGCGTCGGATAAGATGATTCCTGACACTGCACAAGCGAAGCGACCAATGCGATCGCGGTGCTGAGGATAGAAGGTTGCGAGTTGGAGCCTGCTAGGAAGGTGAAATAGGTGAACGGATCCGTCTGAGAATCCAGCAGCAAGGTGGTGGTCAGATAGTGCCAGGCGACGACATGCAAGACCGTCATTGTTATTATTCACATCTGAGGGGACAAACGGAAGGCTTGTGTATACATATCTACCTAGTTGGAAGTTGTTGGCTGTCCGGTGGCGGTATATATACTCCTCACGCCAAGTATTACGCAGAAGATGCCCGATATTCCATATGCGCCTCGTGAGGTTGTGCCATAGAAGTTCAGAATGCGACACCGCTCGCCAGGTAGAACACACCTGAAATTAGCCAACACACATCAAAAATCAAGCTTCATAACTTCTTTGGATGATGCATATTATCTGCAAGAAAAAGTCTCCTCAAAAAATATCTTATTAATTTCATTGTCTGATGTTAAATTGCTTGATTTTCCTGCTAACAGCATAATAATAAAGATATCATTTTCCTTCATACGTAAATAACATGAATAAAAAGAACAGCTTTCGATAGCCAATCTTGAAAACGTAAATACAAAATTAATTCCACGTCTAACATCAATTGTGGAAGAGAGAAGCCCAAAAGGAAACGGGAATTGAGGCATTTTTGTATCAAAATTAATCCTAACTGACCATTAAAATAAGTAACAAGAAAAAAATTAAAATGTACTAGAAATAAAAAGTTACACATAATTAAAAGTAACTTTAAGCTCAGTTAAACAGGTTGTCACAAGAGGTTTTTAAGATCAATTAAATTATAATAATTGACATGACACCTCAAATATTAAATTCATAACAAAATACCATTTAAATAAATAGATTTAAGTCCTTTAATTACTTTGACCTTCTAAATGATTATATTCAAAATCTAGAGTTCTTCACAATCACTCCTTTTCTCATGGCTTTACATTGGATAATATAATTTTTTCAATTTTGACCTACTTTCCTAATATTCTAATATTTCTTTTTTGGCAACCTTGTGAACTCCTAAATGAGTGCTGAACCTGATCACCATACAAAAGCAATGTCCAAATCCAAGAATTCTGATGCAGGCATGCAAGATCCCACATGATCAAAAGCCCATTTTCATTATTTATAAGCAGTGGGGGCTGAGTTCCAAATCATGCTTTCTATGCACTTATAAAGAGACGTTTGGTAAAGCTTTTTTTTAGAATATAAGTTGTGGATGGTATGAGATGTGTTGTGTAGTGTAGTGTAGGTGAAAAATAAATAAAAGCTTCAGCTTATAAGTAGCAAAAAGATTTTTCCACAAGGCAGATTCGTACATACAGATCAGCCTATGCTGCTTCTTTGACATACGCATGATAGATAAACAGTGTATAGATTATTCGAGCTGTCTTATAGCCTGTAGATTTGTACTGGTGTCCTCATTTATATCCCTACTAAAGTACAAATCCATATATAAAAATGACAACTTTACTCCATAGCTATCCGCATGAAGAAATAAATACCCAACGAGCATACAAACAAAAGATTTGTCCAAGAAAAAGGAAAATTAAAAAGCAAAAAGAAAGTACAATCTGACGAAAGCGAAATCAAATCCTTCTCTGCTGCTGGGATTTTTTCGAAATATTATTTCTTGCAAGATTACAAGCTACTTTTTTGGATGCTGAGATCACTCCTCATAGAGCAGTGTAAAGTCGAAGGGTTTTCCTCACGGGTCACTATCAATAGTTTCAGAGCGTTAGGTTATCAAAAAGCATAGAGAATCCAAATATTATGTAGATATTGGAAAGACTTGGAAAGTTGAGTCAAAAAGTAGAAAATGGATTTTCTGAGCTCAAAAGGGATTTAAGCAAAGAAAACGAAAACAATATTCAAAGAACCAAAAGAACCCTTTTATGTTTATTATAAAAGATCTGATAGCTATCTTCAAGAAAAGTCAGCCCAAAAATGGACAATTCTTTTATGACACCACATTTTTCCCACTGATGGCTGAAAACCGAACAAAATAATTATATGTTTGGTTAAAAGGAGAACTTAAAAATATGACTTTATGTGTGGAAACTTCGTACTTTTTGAATGTGGGAATAAATTTACATAATTTCCTTGCGAGTTCGAAAGTCTTCAAAAGTCTAAAAGTGAATAGGGAGCATGAGAGAGAGAGAGAGAGAGAGAGAGACGGGGAGAGAGAAATAGTTTTAGGAATTTGTTTTTAAAAAAAAAATTATTGAAAAATGTGATTTTTATAAAAAATGTAATTAAAAATAAATCTTAGAAATGAGTACAAAAAAAGATGTGATTT